ACCCCACCAGCACCTACCCCAGCCGCTCGCTCACCCTCCCCTACCCCCAGGGGAATGGGGAAGAGAATTAAAAGGAAAAAGGGAAGTAGGCTCATGAGTTCAGATAAGAACAATTTAATAATAACAATACTATAAAATTAAAAGTAATAATAATAACAATAATATATGAATATATATGTAGTGATAATAATATATATATAAACAAGCAATGCACAGTATCATTGCTCACAATCTGGTGACCAACATCTGTCCAGCGACTGACCATGAAACAGGTAAGACCCAACATCGCAATCCCAGACAAGCAAGAGGCACAAAAAGAGGGTGAGAGAGACAGAGATAGAACTTCAAGAGACCGAGAGAGCCCTTGGAAGAGCAAGAGCTTCTTCCTGGTCAACCCTCACTTATATACTGGGCATGACGCTGCACGATATGGAATATTTCATTGGCCGATTCAGCCCTCAATCCTAAATCTAAGTTCAAATCATAAGGGAGTTGTGGTCGCTTTGTCTCGGTCATGCTCCCCTCAACCTGTTGTGCTCCTGCACACTGGCAAGAACACGGCAAGCTGAAAGGTTCTTGATGTCTCAGTATCAACTATAAACATCAGGGAGCTATCAACGTTCTTCTCATAACAACTTTCAGGCTAAATCCAAAGCACAGAGCTCTTCTAGCTGCTAAAATTAAAAACTAACTGTCCTGGTCAAAACCAGGACACAACTTCACATCCCTGCAGTCCAGGGAAGAGACTGATTTGTTTTCTTAATTCTATCAACAGGAAATGACTGGATCACAATTAAAAAAAAATTGTTTTCTAAGAAGGGAATACAGTCTAACTGTTCTTTTGTAAACCAACCTCAGAAATATCTTAGTGGTAAACGGCACCTTTAAGAACCACCAAAGAAAAAGTGATAGTACAAGAAATGCACATTTAATGAACCTTCATTTTAAATGAGATTAAATATTTTAAGTATACCTAATTGATTTTTAAAAAATAAGAAAAAAAAAATTTAAAAAGAGCCTTTTCTAGCTTCAACCAGGACTCTGTCCAAGATTAGCAGAAAAAAGAACACCGTTTGACACAAAGTTATTTTTACCTGTGAGGAAACAAAAGATACACTTCGTGCTTCAGAGCCTCTGGAAAGAGGAATGCACCCAGCGTCCGCTGTAATATGAACAACTGGCAAATGTGGCAGTTTTGTTGTAACAGCTTTCAGTTTTTCCACCTGTTTGTCAGCCTCTGTACAATAGTAAAAAAAAAAAAAAAAGCAGAGAGAATAGGAGATATTTTGTATGTTTACTAGCCATCATTTGTTGGGATTCAAATAACACTATGTTTCACAATAAATACAGACTTTCATAAAGTTTTAAGTTTCCATTATATTTAAAAATCTACTATAAATTACATTTTCTGAAAGCATTCCGATTTGTTTATGCTTTCTCTCACATTGACAAACAAGTTGGTCTATACAGGTAAATATTGCTAAGACTCCTGGAATGTTATTTAAAAATTTGCAAAGATTTATTATTTTTTTTTTAAGCAGAAAAAAAAGACTATTGATCTTATCCTTGTCTGACAGCAGCTACACACTGTTTCATCTTGGGTATATACCACCATCTTATTTCTATTATAAACCCAAATTCTTTTACATTTCTAGTTGAAATAACCTCGGTTAGCTCTCTATTTGTCATAAGTTTGTGCCCTTCATAAAGCTAAAAGAGCACACCTACCACAAAACTGCTAAGCTATCCTCTCTAAACTATAATATTGAGCGAAATAATCCACCTGTGGTATGAAAAGTCCTTTTATATTTCAGTAACACCTGAAACGTTAAGTTCTGATGCTGCGAGCATTCTGCGAAATTTTGCCATTTCTTACTTTGTTGTAGACTTACATTTGAGGTTGAGTGTACCTTAGAGGTAATTTCCAAAACCCACCCCCAGCTATTCTTCTGTTACTACCCTTTTAAAATACACTGAAATTTCCCTCAGCTTCCAAAGATGACACATGCACGCTAAATAGAATTTCACTTCTAGTTAATCTTCCTAGCTTTTGCTTTTCCTCACTATAGTCTGTTAGAATACAAAAACATAAAATAAAATAACAAATAACATGCGTCACCATTTCCTCATCCTCTATTAAACCTACAAACTCCCGTACTGTCAGCAAGGCTGTCTATCTTGCTTTATGATCTGACTACGTAAGGGTTCTTTTTATTAACAAGGCTCAAAGAATGAGGACTAGATTTTGATTCCTACGTTCCAGACTCAGATCACATCATCAGTGATCCCCTGGTAACAGAACCAATTTGCATCCTGCATCAGTGATTAAGATACTTACATTTTTTTAAGCAAGCTCTTCTGTAATGAAGCTATTTCAGTCAGTATGCTTTTTTTTTTTTATATACCTGTCATACAAAACTTCCTGAAAATTAGTAAAAACGTTTATAGTTTAGGTGCAGGAAGACATTACATATCTTATAGTGCTGTACTTTGAAATAATCACATTTCCCAAGCTTTAAGAAAAACAAACAAACAAACACCAAACTAAACTCATCACTTTCCAGAGTTACATTTGACAAATACTGTATCTAAAAACATCAAGTACCTGTGATACTAGTTTCCCAATTTTTTTTGATCAGTTCCTCCAATATTCCAATCACATTGCTCCAGACACGATCAAATACTTCAGAAGCCACAGCATGTTTGATACAGGCATTGGGAGAAACAGGGGGAATGCCACGCTTACTCCTTTTCTCAGCAAGATGCATTTTCTTTTGTTCCCAGCTCTCATCATCACTAATAAAGGAAAAAAATGCAAGTCAATCCCCATGGGCTTTGACTTTCCTTTCCCCTCCTTCTAATACACGGAATGAATAGAAACATACATATGGAAGAAAAGCCAGTCAGATGCAGATCACAAAAAAAAAAAAAAAAAAAGAAAAATCAAATTCAGACGTACAGAGTACCCATGAGAACAGAATCTATCAAATACATAGTGATTCCTTTTTCTTTTGCTTGCAGGTGAAAAATTAATAAAAAAAAAAAACAAACATTCAGGCCATTACAACAGAAAGATCTGCAGCTCTAGAAAGAGCAGCTTTATACATGGCACTTAGCCCTCCTGCCAAACACAACAGACAACAGTTCCCTTATGTTATGGTAAAAAGCACAGGATTTAGTTTCAAATGACTACCACACAGAACATTTCTCTTCTATCATGCCCTCTGTACCTGCACACATCTGCAACACTCTACCACTGATCAAAGACAACTTAAAAATATTTCTGCAGCCTGACAAGAACAGCAGAGACCACAGCCTTACACTCACCTCCTCACCCTTCCACTACAGTGAGATCTTAAATTTTTTATTTCCCCCCCCTCCCTAGGGAAGCACAGTGTAGCAATATTTCCAAACTTGGTCTTCTAATACACCTCTCAGGAAGAAAGTTTTAGCCTTTTTCTTTTTTTTTAATGCCATCATATTTCTTTCCAAGGAAATGCAAGGGTTTTTGAGATTACAAAGATGATCCCAAATTCGTACTGATTTCTACTATCTCTCTTTCTCTTCTCAGTCACTTCTTCCTCGAAGTGGACTGCAAACCTCTTAACTATAACTGAGACTCAGTTGAATGGTCAAACTCACAAAACAACTGACCTATTTTCATATCAGGCTTTGCAACGCCCAATGCTTTAGTTATGGAGAACAAGATATTTCAGAATTGAAGGAAATAAGAAACAACGTATCAAGGAGGCACAAAGGAGAGAAATGCACCTTCAGTCAAGTCTCTCTCCCAAATTAAGTTTGTTTACTTAGCAAAACGAAGCGAGAAGGAACCTAAGAGGATTCTTAAACCCAAACTCTTTCCAAGAAGGCAGCCATCCACACTCTCTTTTTCAAAAACAGGACTGAAAGGGTCTCCGTCTGGTTCCTCAGTTTTCCAGAACAACTGTTATTTTTTTCCTGTAAGCGCACTGAGCTTTAGCACAAAAAGCTATGCTTTATGCCCCACTAGTCCTATCAAAGTTTCCCCCTTGTAGAGACCTTTTAGAAAACATCACGTCATGGTCTTTCATCCACTCAGTAGCCTAACTGCTGGAACATTCAACTGGCTCACGGGAAACCTAGGTTGCACTGTCGAGATGACAGCTGCACGACTGCTGTCACTCACAGGAGTGCTCTAAACGCAGGTTGTATCCTGTGCCTCTCCTCACAAAGCTGTTATTTGCTGCACAGAAAGAATTTAAAATTCATTAGGGCAGACAATAAGAGCACGTACGGTGTAATGGCCCTGAACAACCTGGTGGTCAAGCCACTCACTAGGGGAGAAGGGATTCCTGCATTCTACTCCCTGATTCAAAACTAAATATTCGTTTTATTGAACCTTCATGCACAAAACACTTCAAAACAACCAGTGGTTAAGACACATTCCTCTGACATGGGAGATGTGAGTTTTATATCACCAGAAAGTCAACATATCTAATCTTCCACATGCCCATGAATGCTCTGACCACTGTGCTACCAAACACAGGGACAGAAGGAACTGAATTTTACAGGGAAGAAACAGTTTATGAACCCTGACTGGTTCATTGATAATTTTTCATTATATTCTTCAAACACACATATATCTCTTATTTACAGCTCCTCGTTGTCAAAGGCAAGATATTCTTCTATTTTTCCATCCACATCATAGATTTCTTCTTCCAGGAATGAATACAGGGATGAGTCAGACACAGAAATCCTAGTGGAACTTGAGTCTAGTGATTTATGTATTGGAGATGCCGTTGGGATCAGTTTAGAGCCTGAAATGCAGAGCCTGAAAAAAATATCAACAGAACAAGAATTAAATATTCAAAGAAAGAAGGAAGTATGTATTTTATTACACTAAAATGTTTCAGAAATACCAAAGTAATATTTGTACATATTTCTGAAGAGGTACGACCAAAAAGAAAACTTTAAAAAATGAACATACTCTTTAATATTACTAGTACATTCACGGAGGCCAGGTAAACACTGAGTATCCACACAGGTACCACTTCTGCTCTGAAAATGCTGAAAGCCTTCATCCTTTGGCAATAGGAGCTGCTTCCCTAGAACTCTGAATAAAAAGGAGAGAGCAAGCGATATCTTAGATGGACATCCACTCCATATGCAAATATCAAGAACACAAATACTTGCACACAGTAGGCAATGCAGAAGTGCACCTTACATTTGCTTTGAAAAAGTAATTTTTGAAGGGGCCAGGGCCTTGTGTAATACATTCACATTGCCTAGTATTTAAGTCATTAAAGTTAAGTTGATTTGTGCAAGATTAGATTCTAGCTTAGAATTTCTAAGAGCAAATAGTCAAGCTTGCTTGACAGTTCTGAAGGCAGATAAACACTTCCTTTCTTATCAAAACTCCATAAGAAATATTTAAAAACAGATGCAGAAGACATAACACCTGCTATGACTTCACTTATCTAGCTCGAGTAACCACCAATGCGAGCAGAAGTCCTAATTCAAAATGTTTACATGCATAGTTAAGGCTAGAAAATGCACAAACTCCAATATGCATAATGCAGAGGCAGAGAGAAAAGGTAAAAGCAACTCTATTTAAATGTACACAAAATTACGCTATAAAATAATTTCTGAATACAGTATAGGTGAATAATAATCACTGCTTACTGAACTTTTTCACTAGAATTCACAAGGGATCTCAAAAAGAATTTGCCAGTCACAGCTGTAATGCAAGCAGCAATGCTCAGACTCACCTGAACACGTTTTTTTGAGACTACCTTTTACAGAACAGCACTTTACGCCACTTATGAAGCTCTAAGCAATAGCCCTTTTTACTTTTTATTTTGTAAGCTAAGAATAAAAAGCTTTCCCTTTAAATATCTCTTATTGATGACAGCTCTCAAGTATATTTATTCCCACATGCTGAGCTAAGTATTCATAGCTATTTTACAACCTAAAAAGGACAGCCAGGGAGCTCTTTGAAGCACAACTCTGAGAAATAAATCTGGCAACCCAGAAGCTATTCTTTTGAGTAACTAGTCAAGACAAACTGGGTTTTGAGGTTAACACTTAACACGGAAAATAACTTTTTTTTTTTAAACCACAGGATGTACTGACAAAGAGTCTTCAGATGTCCTCATGGACTTGGTTGGTATTACCAGCATTAGATTTGAATCAAAAAACTCGGAAGCACAGGGAATCATTTACTTGAAAACATTCCACCTTGTGAAAATACTCTGAAAATACAGTGAAATTACTTAATATTTTGAACAAATTAAACAGCACAAAACACGTCATTTTATGCATGTTCCATTAATTTTTACAGTACCTAAAAAAGCATGTCTTGATGCTAGTGAAAATTGCCTCAGTTTTATTTAACAGTTGTCTCTTGTTCCTGACAAAGTGACAAGCTTCGTGAGTTGATTTTAGTTTATATTTACGAGTAACAAGCCTCTGAAAATTATCTAAAAGCATTGAAAGCATACCACAGTTATTGACACTGTTCTTTTTAATGGTGTTAACAAACCATCGACTAGAAGACAGACACACACAGTTCTGTGTGTAGAATAACTCAGAGCCACAACATCTCACTAAGAACGCCACGCCATCAGTTACGAAGGCAGGACAGCGCGATGCAGTGCAACACAGACTTCTGTCCCCTGTGTTATAAGAAGCAGTCATCAAGCTGACTAGACATTTTGCACATCTATGCATAACAATTCTCACTAATAGTGTGTGCATCCTCGTATGTGTTCAACCAGTTATTGTCGGGTTAATATCACACATTGTTTTACATTGACTCACATAGCCTAGGAAGATGTTATGGCTGTGCAGTATATGTGAAGCATGTGGTTGCCTTCATTTTTCATTTCCTTTTAGAAGAATCAGTAACAGAATTAACACAGAGTTTCTCGGAATTTCACAGTACATCTTCACTTACAGTCAAAAAAATATTTCAAGATGTATTCTTTATTTAGAAAAAGTCATTATGAAAATGGTGCGTCATTATTATCTCATTACAACCCACTACAATATCTTTGTCTGCAATCATCGTACTAAGCAAAACAAAGAGCATTAGCTGCTACTGCACCACCACCCAGACTTACTGCGTTAACTATGGCACAGCTCAGTCCTAGAGATCCAGATCTGAATGCAAAGTTGTTACTGATGCCATACATCAAGAGCAATTCACATGAGGGTACCCCAAAAACTCAAATTAGAGTGATAACTGCTTAAAACTAGTACCAGCAAGAAGCTTCCTTACCTTAAATGAGGAAATCGTTCAACCCAGTCTGCACATTCTGCCTGCAGGCTCTGAGTTTGGGAGGTGACTTTTCCTTCAAACAGCATTTCATCAATCTCCCAAAATAACTGCTGAACTCTCTGTGTGTTGGCTTTATCAAATTCCTACATAGTATAAAATTAATAGCTGTGAGCAAATATGCATACATATTTATATTAAAAAAACCCACAATATTTAAATAACGGGACAACCTGGACTGAACTGGCTGAGCATCTCAGAATGGATCTTCAGACTACCTACTTTGGAGACACAATTTTTATGCTGCAGTGCCAAAAAAACCCCAAACCAAACCCAGGGAGCAAGGTAATTTACCAAAAAGGAACTAGCTGCCTAGGATTAGCCAACAGAAAACATGAGTTAGAAGGTGTCTGGACTCCTGGCTCCCTCCCTGCTCCAATATGGAGCGAAGCATGCACGTCGCATCTCTGCGACCCATGGCGCAGAAGCTCCCTGCTCTTCTGAGCAGCACTTTTCCTCTCTGAGTAAAATAGCCAAGAGTGGGCACCTTCCTTCTGCATGACACAGTCTAGCAGTTAGGAAACAACCCTCAGTGTGAGACACAACCTTCTACACCTCTTCACTAAAGTTACAACTCAGTGCAAACAGAAACGGGCGAGTGCAGGGACATGTGAAGGTAACAGGGAAGAGTCTGACTTTATCCAGTGATATGGAAACGAGCACTTGGCTGAGGGTTTCTCAGCTGGGCCACTGTTCATAATGACATTTGGCCACTTACATAAGACACTTTAAAATACAGAAAAAAGTGACAATACTCAGGGCCCAAATCATATATCATATCTCTTCACTTCCAGCTGAGTGTCCCAACCACTTCAGGCTACAGAAGGGATCACACCAACAAGGAATGGGAAAATAACTCTCACCCAGGCTATCATATGATTGAGGGTCAGGCTTTCACCCAGAAGGCTGGAAGTGACAGATGGGGTCAGTAGCCTAAAGGTTAGGATATTATGCAAAAGGTATGGCAGAACTACAGCTACCAGCCACGGAGGGCTTTTTGAAATGAAAAGTGGCAGTGACCGCAGTGTTTCTGGATTTATTCAATGCTGCGAGCCTGCAGCAGGTATGCCTCAGAGGTCAGCCTCCCTCATGGGCTTAACCTCTCTCTGTATCATCTACGAAACACAACTGAGCTTAGGTAAGAGCTAAATATTTACTCAGACTGGGACATTTACATGCATGCTCATGGATGTACTTCACAACTCAAAACACTGAGAACAGTTCCGTTTAGACACTGCCTGCACTATGCAATATTTGAAAACACACACTTTGTCACTCTCTTGGATTCAGAAACCTAAGCCTACCTTCTTTGGTAAAACAGGTTTATTTTCTCCAAATTTCATTTCATATTTTTATTCAATTTTTCTTTGTTTCACATCAGTTACACTAATACCAACTTGCAAACAGAACTGTGTTTTAAATATTCAATTAATATACTTAATCATTAGGCTATCATGAATGAAAGTGGTTAACTCCTATAGGACATGCCGTATGTCTGTTTTCTGTAACAGTTAATCTAATCTACAATATTTACATAAAGCGTACTGTAAAAGTTTGTGACGTACATCATCCCTCCAAGAGTAGACTGAACTTCTTTCAGTAGACAAACCAGTAGCATAGCTGTTTATTCCAGACCAAGAATTTTTCAACTCTGTGGGTGTTGTATGACCACTAGATGAAAGTGATGAAAGTGTTTCACTGCGAAAAGAAGACAAATTAAAATGAAGAATACAATGGTTTTCTGGATAAACGTTTTAAAAATAACACAACTAATCACATAAACGGACAGCGATACAGATTCCTGTGGGATGCAAGATTTTCAAGACACGCTGTTAGAGTCAATGTGAAGAGTTGCAAATGTATCTTTTTAACCAGAGTGCAATGAATACATGCACCTATTTGTACCATTTACTGCCTTAAAGGCAATTCCTTCTACAGCATTACACTTTTATATATATGTATATCATTGCAACTGTAAGGGCACTCTGGAATATATACACACACACACACCAAGTACTTCCATCTCTAACAATTATTTTGTTTTCTCCAGTTTAGCTAATGGGCCCATCAAAACATTAAAGATAACACGAGCCTGCTTTAACCCTATTAGAAGCTATCACAAGAAGATTATGCAAAACTGAACACAATCTATCTACAAATGTTTCAAATAGCATTGAGTTACGTCTTTTATGCTCTCAGACCTGGTGCACTTTGAACCTCGAGCTCTGGGATTCCAGCTCTCAGAAAGCTCTAGCTGATCCCTGCCAGCTACCACCCACCCTGGGATGCAGTGAAAGCAAAGGGCAGCCAGACAAATCCTAACCAGTGCCAGCTGGAACAAAACTTCTTGAAAGTTAACTGAGCTGCAACGCTGGCAAGTGTTATTTGCATTTAACCACGAAGCCTGACTTCCTTTCCAGACTTAATCAGTGCTCTTCACTATGCTCTAAAAGTATGCAAATCCATAACACAAACCAGGATTAAAGTTGAAACCCTCTAAACAATGGGTTAGGTCAATTTATATCTTGAATTATATTCTGCAATAGCTGTCATCCATGAGAATGACTAGAAGCACGACTAGTGAAAATAAATACTAATCTTGAAATACCTATTTAAGCCAAGAGTCCGTTAATGTACCATTTCAGAATTGAATGCATACCAAGTATAATTGTTGATGGCTTCCTGCACATTCCTCTCAAAAACTCCTGGAAGAGACTCTCCACTTTTTCCAGAAAGACACTGATTTGTGGACCCTCTGGACAGTCCCTTCCTATAAACACAGAAACACATCATTCCATAATATTAAATAAGGTTAATTCACACCTCCACTGGAGGGGAGAGGAAAAAAAAAAAAGAAAAAGAAAGATGACAACTGTTGAATTTTTCAATCCTATCCATCAACACAAACATTTGCTTGAAATAAACTACCTCGTTTTAGAATAGTTTTTATTTACCTTATTTACAAATGTTTTTTTCAGAAAAATGTACATTTAATTTCAGACTTATTTTACTCCAAAGGCATCCTCCTTCAATTTTACACTTCAGAATTTGCACAAAGTGCACACAAACACAGCAGCACCTCAGTATTGCAGGAAGAGAGCAAAGGCACAAACCAGTGGTTATTTAGCTATGTGTTTCTGTTCAATCATTAACATAGAGACCATTTTCTCAAACGTCTCTCACCATAAAAAGAAGTTACAGATATGGTGCCAAGCAAACAGCAATCTTTACTAAAACTATGAACTCTCAACTTGGCTGTTTTAAGTTAACTGAGATATTAGTACATCAGGAAACATGGGCATATTCTCAATACATTTACAGGTCACGAAGCATCAGTTCCTCCAGTACTAAAGACTCCTTAAAACTTTCTTAAAAACCAAGTCACAAACTTTGTAGTATTATGCCATTCCAGCATAAGAAATGCTAGAACTTGTCATTTTGCTTCTCTAAATACCTGAACACACGCTGAAATTTTAAAACCATCCCTTACAAACCACATGGATGAATATTAACATACAGCAAAGCATAGGAATGCCTGCACTTCTATTACTAGCCTTAAAAGAATACCTTTTAATGAAGAAAGAAATTGTACATTTCTGTAATCTCACTAAGTTCTGCAATTAATATGTTAGACTCACGTCTGCAGAATATACACAGATGTGTCAAAGTGTTCATCAGAAACACTTTTACAGCAACAGATTACTTCATCTGTGGAAGTTCTTATTTTCATCCCGTAACATCCTCAGGTCATAACTACGAATAGCACCATGATTGCATCAAAGTACATTTGTGAATGAGTAACTGTAAGGAAGCAGCTCACAGTTCAAGAATTTTCTTGATTTCTTAGCCAAGAGCTGTAGATCGGTCTTGTAACAGTTAGGATTGCTCTGCCTTCTTCCTGTCCTTTCTGATCTTTACCTTGTGTTTACACAGATTACAAAGATATATATGTCAGAATCTAACTCCACATTCAAACAGACCGCATCACACATCTACTCCTATGCCTTGCCTAACAAGCCACCGGAAACCTACCACAAGTTTAAACTTCTCATCAGAGAAGACCTTGAATTGTAAATTCTTGGAGGCTGGTACAACAGCAGTGGAAAGCATCTCTATGCGTTTGTTCAAAATTTCCTCACTCTTCCCTAGGCATCTGCTTTTCGCCACTGTCAGAACCAAAAAGCTTTATGAAAAGTGGTACAGTCCAGTCCCATGAAAACTTCATTTTGTCATAACACCAAAATCTATCTCTCCAGGCAATAGCAGTGAGCTCACAGCCCATCTTCCACATGGAAAGCTAGTTCCTTCTGTTCATGTACATCCCTCTCTGCCGTTTTGTTTGCCATGTTATTGCCCAGGCATCCTTATAAGGTCTTTCTCAATTTTCTCCATGGCTGACCCTTGTCCTTAGTATTTTTCCACAGCTTAGTATCTCCACTGAGCCTTCTCACTTCACTGCTCACCCCTTTACCTGGTCAACTAGCTTGAACTGTCCAGGACAGGTCCCTAAGAAACACCATTGGAGGAGAAAACTGTTTACTGCTACCCTCTGTTTTCTACTCTAGTTATTTGCCTGTGCAAGAACACTTTCCTTTTGTATTCCAGCTGCTTCATTTACTTGACAGACTTTTGGCAACCCAAGCTAACTACACTGACTGGATCTCCTGTATCTGTAAGGCTTTTTGACTTCTCAAAGAATCCCAGGTGGAGGGTTTTTTGTGGCTTTGAAGGAAACCTGAACCTACAAACATGAAAAAACAGAAATATCACCAAGAAAATGTTATAGACTTTCTGTGAAATAAAGCACGTGCATTATACTTAACAGTATAATACACGATGTGAGATGGAGGGGAAAAAAAAAGTGTTTCTGCCGCATCATTGCACTGCATGCAGCGGTACTACTCTTCCTGACTCCTTGGCCCACATGCCAAGATGAGAAGATGAGCCAGCAAACGACTGCAGTAAAACAAAACGAAAGGAAAACCCCCTCCCAGCACATCCATAGCACGCTTCC